GTCCAAAACATAGAAGAAATTATTTGCTGCCCACTCACATCTGCTGAGACTCCAGGTCCTTCTATGTGACTCGGGTCTGTGGTTGCTGGGGCGGTTACTCTGCCTGCTGTGCAGAATGGACAGGGTTCATGCATAGAGAATTTGGGGGCACAGAGCAGCAAGTCTTTGGAAGATAAAGATGACTCAGATGTGTGGCTACTGCAGCTGGAGGGACAGAGGTGCCGTGCCCTGAGCTAGGACAGCCTGGACTGGAGCCCATGTGGGAGACACCATGTGGTACAACGTCTGGTGTGTTGAGCTTGTTGGGTTCCAGGTATGGAACAGGGTATGGTCTGGAGGCCACAGGCAGGCAGGAGAGACAGCTGGAGTCGGCATGGGCATGGCTTACGGTGTGCAGACGGAAGTCAGTAGAGAATTCACATGAGAAGCACTGCTAGAATGGAGAATGGAGACGGGGGCTGGCGGCCGCTGACAACTGGACAGACAGGAGGAGCAGCAGGACAGAAAGGGCAATCAGAGCGAGTGGCTGAGTGTCTGCAGGAAAGGGAAGAAATCCTGGGCATAGCTCAAAGGTAGAGCCCCAGCATACACGTGGAGGTGCTGGGTTCCGGGTGGAGACCCTGACATCCTTGCAGAGGGAGGGTAGGAAATGCAAACCCATGGCTGGGCAGAGTGGAAGAGACAGCTGTGTTCCGGCAAACTGCAGCAGAGGAAAGAAGCGGTGGAGCTGAATGTGGAGTAAACCGAGCGTAGGGGATGCTGAGGCAGGGGATTTCAAACTAGATGCCAGTCTGGGTGACATAATGAGACCATGTCCAAACATGGTGGCTAACACCTGCAACCCTAGCACTTAAGAGGCTAAGGCTGCTGAGTGGTGGTGGCGCACGCCTTTAATCCCAACACTCGGGAAGCAGGAGCAGGTGGACTCCGAGTTCAAGGCTAGCCTGGTCTACAGAGTGAGTTCTGGGACAGCCAGGGATACACAGAGAAATCCTGCCTTGAAAAATAAAAACAAACAACAAACAAAAAGGCAGGAGGGGTCACTTCAAATTCAAGAAGGTCCAGCCTGGGCTACTCAGTGCGTTCCAGAACAGCCTAGACTACAGAGAGAGTTCTAGCCCAGCCTGGTGTTACAGCATAGACACTAATATCAATGAATTAATCCACTGAGAGCTTTAGGAGGCCTGGTTGGATGGAGTAGGCCACTGGGGACAAGCCCTCATAGAGTGTCTTATTCCCCATCCTTTCCCATCTTGCACTGCTTCAGGGACACTGGGAGGAGAGTATCTCCTCTGGCTCCTACACCCCCTGCCAAGATGCCCTGTCTCGCCTCAGGCCCAAAGCAATAGGAAGCAGAACCAGATGGACCTGAAGCAAAACTTTGGATACTAAGTTAAAAATAAATCTGATTTTCTTTCTTTTTTTCAGTGACAAGGTCAGACCCGGGGCCTGGAACATGCTAGGCTAAGCACATCTTCAGCACTAGATTTTCAGACTCAGATTATACCTCAGGCTGGCCTTGAACTTGAGATCTTGTCCCAGCCTCCAGAGTTCTGGGATTGACCCACACCTGGCTTTGGAATATTATATATAGTGAAAAACTAATTCCCAAAGCCAGGCAAGATGCATCACACCAGATGCAGGAGAATCGGGGGTTCAGAGTCATCCTCTGCTACCTAGGGAGTTTGAGGCTAGCCTGGGCAACATGAGACCCAGACAAAGGATGGATAGGAAGGAAGGGAGGCCAGGAAAGGCTCAAATAGCCGGGAGACTTCACTTCAGCACAGGCTGCCTTTAGGTAAATGTGGCCACTAGGGGGCACTGAGAGCAAGCATTTTCTACCGGGTGCTGCGGGAGATGGGACTGCAATGAATCTCAAGGCAATTAAACTCATGGGTGGTTTGGCGGCACACTAAATTTGATGGAAGAAATTAATCAGGTTAATTCTAACAACATGTGTTCCATGGCAATGATGCCAGGAGGATTTGGGACTCGGGAAAGCACGGTGGCGGGTCCTATGGGAAAGAAGCCAGGGTGTGGATGACGCCAGTAAAAGGACAGGTTCCCAGAGCAGAGAGAGGGGACATTTTTTTTTTCAGCTGGGTGTCTCTGTGTAGTCCTAGCTGTCCTGGAACTCACTCCGTAGACCAGGCTGGCCTTGAACTCACAGAGATCCACCTTCCTCTGTCTCCTGAGTGCTGGGATTAAAGGTGTTCACATAAATTACTTTTAAAATATTTGTGGGCTGGAAAGATGGTGCAGACATTAAGAGCACTGGATGCTCTTCCAGAGGACCCAGGTTCCACTCCCAGCACCCATGTGCCCGTGTGGAGCTCACATCAGCTGCAATACCAGTGCCAGGGGCTTTGACACCTTCTCCCTAGGTCCTTGGGCACCAGGCACACACGTGGTACAGACACGCGCAGGCAAAACATTCATGCATCTAAATAAACGTTTAAAAAGTCAGATCCTCAGATCAAGGAAGAAGTAACTACTGGGGAAACTGCCAAAAATTGGTTTTTGAGAAATATTTATTTGGGAGAGGGTGATGTGGAGGTCAGAGGACAATCCACAGACGTGTGTGCTCCTCCTACCATGGGGGTCCTGAGAAGGGTTGTCAAACTTGTTGACAGGTGTCATTGAGCCAACTCTCCAGCGGCCAAAATGGGTTTTTAACAAAGTTGGGGAAAGATGATTTTGGAGGAAAGGGGAAGAGGGAACAGGGTGGTGGGGACTGGGCACTGAAGGTGTGTTCTACCCTGAGAAGCAGACAGGCTGTGAGGGGTGGGTCCACAGGAAGGCTGGGGCCCCAGTGAGAGAGCATGGTGAACCCGGGGGACATCACACCACAGGGCACGTGATGTAGGGCTCCCAGGGAGTTCCTTCCTGGTAGGACGATTGTCCCCTTTCCACCATGACAGGGTTTATGTTCACACACCTTATTTCTTCGGGAAACCTCGCAGCCCTCGGGAGTGGGTACCGTTTTAATTGTCTTTATTCACAGATGCAGGTGTGGAGATTCTGCGTTCTCACAGAATTTCTCAAGACCACACAGCCAAGACGTAGTGTGGGCGGCATCTGAACTCAAGCAGAATTTTTCGGTTTGTTACAGTGCCAGGGTTTGAATCCAAGACCAGACGTGTGCCCGGCGAGCGGTCACCTCCCAGAGCATCCTCAAACTATATCTCCTTTTAAAAACGTACTCACAGGCGGGCAGTGGTGCACGCCTTTAATCCCAGTGCTCGGGAGGCAGAGGCAGGAGGATCTCTGTGCCTTAGAGGCCAGCCTGGTCTACAGAGCGAGTTCCAGAAAAGTCAGGGCTACACAGAGAAACCCTGTCTCTAAAAACAAAACAAAAACAACAAAAACCCTTACTTGTGTGCATGTGTTTTGCCTGTATGTGTGGTACTTGGTGCTCAGGGAGGGCAGAAAATGGCATCGGATTCCCTGGATCTGTTGCCGGTTGAGAGCTGCCATGTGGGTGCTGGGAACTGAACCCAAGTCCCCTGGAAGGACAGCAGGGCATTCCGTCTGAACCATCTCCTCAGTGCCCCCCCCCCCGCCTTTCTGAGACAAGGTCTCACTGTGTAAGCATAGCTAGCCTGGAACTCCCTATTTGAGACCAGGAGGATCTCAAATTCCTGCACACCAAGTACATATGAGGGGGTCAGAGGGACAGTGCGCGGGAGTCGGTTCTTTTCTTCCATCATGTGGGTCCCAGGGATTGAACTCAAGTCCTCAGGCTGAGCAGCAAGCGCCTTTACCAACTGAGCCATCTTGGTGGTTCCTTTTCATTTTTATTTTACTTATCTGACAAAGGGCCAGGCTACAGAACCCAGCCCATAACCCCATCCTTCTGACCCTGCCCCAAGTGCTAGGACCGCAGAACACTATCCTCCACTTTAGCTTTTATTTTCTTTTTGAGACAGGGTTTCTCTGTGTAGCCCATGCTGTCCTTGCTCTGTAGACCAGGCTAGCCTTGAACTCAGAGATCCACCTGTCTCTGCCTCCTGAGTGCTGGGATTGAAGCCCAGTGCCACCATGCCCCTGCCATGTGACTTTTAGCAACTGGTACTGGTGACCTGGGCCTCATCGGGGAGGTATTTTTCTATAGGAAGCTAAGAACACCCAGGGTTTGAACCTGGGGTTTGTCACCTCCACGACCATGAGGAACCAAAACCAGGTTCTGTGAAAGGGAAGTAGAGGGGGCCCCAGCTCACGCAGTGTCCTGGGACAGCAGCCTAGGTGACAGGAGCCACTGGAGATCCCCCACCCCCACCCAACCCTTTGCACTGAGGAGGAAGGCTGAGAGTCTGTGTGGAGAGAGCGGGGCCAGCAGCAAGGCTGAATCAGGGTGTCCCAGATGTTGCTGGTCTGGGGTTCAGATCCCCGGGATGGAGCCTTGCTCCTGGAGAACAGCTGGGTGGGCAATCACACTAGAGAGATGGGTGAGATGTTTTCCTAAACGTCCCGTCCTTGGGACCAGGGCCTCAGCGGTGGCAGTGGCTCCATCTCATCGCACACAGGCGGGGGTTAAATAGCCACTATCGGCTTCTGAGATCCCTCCAGGACACCCTCTAGTCCGTACGGAAGGCATCCATAATCCTTGAGCAGTAGGCTTCCCTCTCTAATTTAGGGACACTGTCCATCCTGATCAATAGTTGATATTACCCCAACAGCAGCCACTCTGCTTCCAAGTTCAGTATGCAGGTGTGGTTGAAACAGCCTGTGTAAGCTGTGCTTTAATGCTGCTTCTTCCAGGAAGCCCTTCCAGACTTCCTTCCTTCTTCCTTCTTTCCTTCCTTTATTATTTTGGCATTGCTGGGAATGGAGCTAGAATCTTGTTTATGCTACATAGGTGCTCTACTGCTGAGCCATGCCCCAGCCCCTCACTGGCGGTTCCTAGACAAGCCCTCTATTGGCCCTATGGTTCTGCTTCCCCACCAATAGCCAATGGCCCTTCCCACCCCTGGTACTCAAGCATCTTGTGCACGTCTCTCTCACCCTCCCTCACCATTTTAATGTCGTTTACTGCCGGTCTGTGGCTTCAACGCCAACAGCCACACCAAGCACATTCTCCATGATGGCCTCATAGCCGTGTGACGCCCTATGGGGAGATGATAGGGGTCACAGTGGGTTGTGAGCATCTCCACATCTCCCGTGGCCCAGGGATCTGGCCTGGCCTTCCCCATAGGAGCTGGGACTGAGTCCCTTTGCGGGGAGGTGGGGACAGGATGTGAGTGTCCGGGACACCTCGGGGTCAGCAGGGTATGTTCTCAGGCTTTGTGGCTGGGAGGAACGTTTCTCCATCTGTCAAGGCCAGCTGTGGCTTGGGGACCAAGGGCAGCAGCGGGGAGAGGAAAAGCCAAACACAGGAGGCAGTTACAGGACCATTAAATACAACTTAGAAACAATCTGGGCGTTTGGGGGTGGAATACAGAGGCAGGCGGCAGTCAGGGTGGGGCGGTGTGGGCCCGGTCCTGGCGGGGGCTCAGGCTGGGGTCATCTGAGCGGCTGGACTGTGGGAAGCCTGGCTGCTTGTGCAGGCCCCGCAGCTTGGCCAGCAGCTCCTGGACGAAGTCCTGAGGACAGAACGGGGTTCTGAGGAGAGAGCAGGAGACAGGCCTCCCGCCCCATGCCAGCGCCTCATCAGGCATCAGTTTACTCAAGCAGGAGCTGGAGCCAAGCAGGGAGGAGAGGGAGACCAAGACACACAGGAGAAGGGGGGAGGGGTGAATAGAAAGAAGGGGGGAAGTTGCAATTGCTCCCTGAGTCAGTGATCGTATGTATCTGAGGCAGGAGAATTGCTGTGAATTTACATGCTGAGACCCAATCTCAAAAAGGGAGGGGGGGCAGGGTTGTGGAAGAGGGCTCAGGGGTTAAAAGCACTTGTTGCTCTTCCAGAGGACTCTGGTTCAGCTCCCAGCACCCACACAACAGCTCACAATCGTCTGGAATTCCAGTTCCAGGGGCTCAACACCCTCTTCTGTCCGGTCCCCATGGACACCAGGTATGTGTGTGGTGGTACACAAACATACATGAAAGCAAAACACATGTACACATAAAATGCAATAAAGAGAGATGGAGAGACAGTCTAAGACCCAGACCTGAGAGAATTCTACACAGAGACAGCCTCAGAGGGAAGTTTCTCATGCCGAGAACCAGTCCCCAGAGACCAGGTCTGAGCCAGCCCAGGCAGACTGACAGGCAGTGACGCTTGTCCCTCAGGCAGCTAGGAGCAGAGGGGAGAACCGTGAATATTTTCCCTTTTAAAGCAGAGGAGGAAGTGGGAGTGGTTACGGCGGCCAGTTCCAGGACCTGCAGGATGGGAGGCCCCCAAGAGGTAGACAGGGAACCCCAGGATAGTAGAGGCAGTCACAGGGGGTCAGAGATGGAGAGAGTGAGATCCCCCCACCCCAGACAACCAGGACAACTAGTAAGGGCAGGCACCACATGGGCCGAAACCGGAGCCACTCGCCTGGGGGAGGGGCTCTGAGGCAGCTGCCTGTGGAGCTGGTGGCAGATGGGAGGTGGGAGGAGGAGACAAGGGTGACAAAGAACAGGACAAGAGATGGGGGCTCCCCCTGCAGTTCCCTAGGCCGGTCTGTGCCTCCCCCATAAAGGTGAGGGGACAATCCGTAAGGACAGACACTCACCTCCGTGGGGTTCCTGCAGGACTTCAAGAGTCCCTTTGGGTGGGTGGGCGGATGATAGAAAAAGAAAACAAAAACCAGTAAATGACTGACACCTATTCCATAAGAGGCCCTCCCCTTCCCGCAAGGGAGCAAGACAAAAGACTGCCAAAACTACCCGTGCGGCTTCAAGTTGGACAGAGGCAGGGCTAAACCGCCGGCAGCTCAGAAGGCTATAAGGCCAAGCCTCTGCAGCAGGGACCGAGGGGAAGGACCTGGCGGCCAGGCTTGGCTCCGAGCTCTCTCTAGTCAAGAAGAGCTGTGTGACCCTGAGCAAACAGTTCAACCTCTCTGGCCTTCACTTTCCTTATGGTGGTAAACGTGTCTACTTTACAGTGTTTTGCAGAGGATTTAGTGTCTGGCAGAGACGTGTTTAACAAACATGCCAACTTGGGCTATTCCGTTTAGGGCCCTGCAAAATGTTGGGCTGGGGGGGGAAGGGGCGGCTTTCTCCCCACCTACCTGGATTTTGCGGCTTCTCTCGTCTTCACTGTCCAATTGCAACAGCTCATCAATGTTGACCTCATCGGGCATATCTGCTTCCTAAGGCCAGGGAGAGCAGGCTGCTCAGGGCCCATGTCTCCCTGGCCCTCCTCCACAGCCTTTGTCCAGGGTCTGGAGGTACTCCATCAACCCCAGGCCCAGCTGGGCCTGCTGCAATAATGTGGCAGGCAGGGACAGCACCACTGAGGCGGACATCTGGGGGTTGGGGGGTGGGGTGGGGTGACAGATGGGTGGACAGAGGCCCAGGCCCTGGTACCAGCCCCATGCCTGCACCCTTGGCTCAGCCCTGGGGGCCTTGGGGCTGGCACAGGGCTCTGTCCTTGGCTTCGGTTCCTACTCGGCAAAGCAGGCCCGGTCGAGTCTCGGAATGTCAGATTCTGGGATTCAGGTTGGCTTCTGCCCTTTCAAGGGCAAGTCTCACTTAGCTGCAGTGGGTGTGGGGGAGGGGAGCCTGCTGGGGCGGGCCCCTTCCCCTGGGGACCAGAAGGGTTTCTGGGCTTAGGTCCAGCCAGGCCTCCCTGGGATACACTGCAGGCTGCTGGATCAGTGAAGTGACCACCAAGGCAGGGCTGGAGCTCGTGGAACAGTGGTACAAAAGCTATCTGGTCACGATGGGGACAAGATTCAGCTGTCCTGGGCCTCAACCTCATCCTGCTGCCCAGCTGGGGAGTGAGGGTGAGGGTGCTGGGCCATGGACAGAGGGGTCTCATGGAGGCTGCTTTGTTCAGAGGCCTGCGTGATCTGAGGCCTATGTGATCTGAGCGAATGTGGCTGCTGCTTGGGTTTGACTATCTCAGTTTGGACGTGGTCAGCTGTAGGGACCATCTTTATCTATGTATTTATTGTATTTTTTTTGTTGTTTGTTTGTTTTAAGATAGGACCTAGATATCCTAGGCTGGTCTGGAACACACTACGCAGCCCACAGCTGGCCTTGAATTCACAAATACCCACCTGCCTTTGCCACCCGAGTGCCGAGTCTAGAAGGTGTGTGCCACCACTGCCAGGCTTGTTTTGGATTCTTTGGACAGGGTCTCTCCTTATCCAAGGTTGCCTTCACCTCCCAAGGGCTGAGGTCACTGGCATTAGCCGCCATGACCAGCATGGTTTCTCAGGGTCTTCATTCCTGAAGCACCTTTGGCAGGTCCAGTCGTGACTACAGTGTCCACAGATGTGTGTGTCTACAGGGCTGTGGCATCTGTCCTTGGGTTTGTTGTCAGCAGATAATGGACGGCCCCCTTGTAACCTGATTCACTTTGTGTCCCAGGAGAGCTATGGGAGCTTGGAACGCTACAGCTTAAACTGATACGCATCTCTGTACAGCTGTAACTCTTCACTTGGCGCTGAGGGCGACTGTGTCGTGAGTGGATGTTATTGTGCCCACAGCAGGGCATGCTGTCCCTTAAGCTGAGCCATTCGCGTTCCTGTAAGTTTGTGTGCTCGCTCCTGGTGCTGTGCCTATGAGTGGCTGTGACTTCCGTCATCTGTGTATACTGGTGTTTCCTCTGCTGAGAGTCTCTGCTGTCCTATCTGCCTTGTCACCCATGTCTATGTTTGGCTTAAGGACATCCCCTCTCCCTATCCGCTCTCTCAATATGTTGACTCTGGTCCCCCAATTCTTCCTCATCCCCTGTATAGGATCCCACCCCGGGTTTTCCCAGGTGTTTGGACACACACAAGTCTGGAGAACCTTAGATGCATGTCTCTCTGTGTATCTACAAGCTGGATGCCCCTGAGCACAGAGACCAGGGCCTTAAGGCATGTGTCCTCCTAGCAAAGATCGCTGTCGGTGCAGCAGCTGGTGCACCAGTGAGCATATATCAGGGTCATCGAGGGCCGATGTTTCAGGCCATCTCCTTTCCCCAGCCCCGTTCCCTCTGGGTCTCACCCTGCCGCGGTATAACTCCTCCAAGCGTCCGTCGATCCACTTCTCCACGTCCAGCCGTCGCTGCAGCTCCCGCCGGTCGTACTTGACGGTGACTCGCGCGTGCCGCTTCTGCAGCCCACTGGGGCTACCCCCCGGGCCGCGGTTCCGCGACGGGGACTGAAGCTTGCTCAGCACGCGCTTGCCCAGCCGCTGCGCTGCCATCGCGCCGCCGCCCGCCGTCCCCACTTAGCGCTCTGCCTGGAGCTCGGGGCTCTTTCGGGCCGGGGCGGGGCCGCCGGGGGCGGGGGCTCGCGCTCGGGGACCCGCCCCGCTCCAGCCGCGGGGCCTCAGTTTCCCTGCCTGCCGAGGCGAGCAGGCTAGTGTGCCGGCTTCCAGACAGGGTCCTGCGGGATGCAGATGGGGCGGGAGGGCGGGACACTCAGCTCAGAGCGCTCTGGGGTACGTATCCCGGGGCGGGGTCCCGGGACACGCTTGGGGGTCGGCCCTCTGCGACATCTAGCGGCAGCGAGGGGTACTGCAGGAGCGCCAGGGCTTCGCTGTTAGGGGCCGCCCAGAAACTTCTCTTTGTAAAAGCTCAAGGTTTTAAGACAGGGTCTCAATTAGCCATGTCTAGTCTTGAACTCCTAAGCCTCTTGCCTCCACTTCCCAAGTGCTTCGATTCCGGACTTGAGCCGCGACACACCCAACTCTTTTTTTTTTTTTTTTTTTTTTTTTAGCTTTTT